GAGAGAGCGCGCGCGAGAGAGAGCACGTTGCCAAGGGCTCAAATGGCGACCCCATAAATCTGGATAGGACCAGATTGAGGTCCCAAGCCGGGACAGGCTGTCAGACCTGCGGGTATAATCTGTCGAGTCCTTTAAGGAAAGGGCTGACCAACGGGTTGGCAAAGATCGAGCAGCCCTCTGCGCCTGGATGGAAGGCGGAGATGGCAGCCAAGTGAACCCCTATTGATGACATGGACAGCCCCTGCTGCTTGAGGTAGAGACGATGGTCCAGGATAAGTGGCACCAAGGCAAGCGTTGGGGACGGAAGGCGCTGCGCCAGACTGAAAATCTCTTCCACTTGGCAAGGTAGGCAGTTCTCGTGGAGGGTTTCCTGCTGCCAAGGAGAACTTGTCTGATTTGATCAGAGCAGGACAGCTCCACTGGGTTCAGCTAGGGAACTTCCACACGGTGAGGTAGAGCGACTGGAGGTTCGGATGTTGGAGGCGGCCGCGATCTTGCGTTATTAGGTCCGGGAAGGGTGGCAGGACATTTCCAGGAGTGATGTGTACCAGTGCCGGCGGGGCCAGGCTGGAGCTATCAAGATCACCAAAGCTTGGTCCCTGCGAATCTTGAGGAGCACCTTGTGAACGAGAGGGACGGGTGGGAACACGTATAGGAGACCGTTCCTCCACCCAGGGGGAGGCCAAACATGTCCACGATGGAGCCTGGGCTGTGACTCAGGAAGGAGCAGAACTGTTGCGTCATGTGGTGAACAGGTCTATCTGGGGAAAGCCCCACTGATGGAAGATTGAGTTCTCTGTGTCCGGGCGAAGGGACCACTCGTGGCCGTGGAACGACCTGCTGAGATGGTCCGCCAGATCGTTCTGTACTCCAGGGAGGGACGATGCTTGCAGCTGTGTAGAACATTCGATGCACGAGTCCCACAGCATGAGGGCTTCTGGCACAGGGGAGGGGAGTGTGCACACACACACACCAACCCCCGTTTGTTAATATAAAACATTGCCGTGGTGTTGTCTGTCAGGACTGATACACAGCCCCCTGCTAGGTGGGCTCAGAAGATCTGGCATGCTAGGCGCGCCGCTCTCAGCTCTCGGACATTGATGTGTAGAGTGAGATCCGCCTGAGATCAGAGGCCTTGTGTACTGAGGTCTCCCAAATGTGCCCCCCAGCCCAAGTCTGACACGTCTGTCACTAGAGAGGGATGGCTGAAGATTGGTATAGGGGACCCTGCACCTGCGGGTCGAGCCACCACAGCAGGGAGTCGAGTACTGGGCGAGGCAGGGTTACGATCCCGTCTAAACTGTCCCAGACTGGCCGATACACGGACACTAGCCATGACTGAAGAGGTCGAAGTCTGAGTCTGGCCTGCTGTACTACGTAGGTACACGCAGCCATGTGTCCTAGAAATTTCAGGCAGTTCCGTGCTGTGGTGGTGGGGAATTGTCTGAGACCTCGAATAATGTAACCCAGGGCTAGAAATCTCACTTTGGGAAGGACTGCCCTGGCGTGTCTCGAATCCAGTACCTCCCCTACACATCCTATCCTCTGAACTGGGGACAGCTTTGATTTCCCCTCGTTCAGTAGCAGTCCCAGTTCATCGAAAGACGCTCTTATGAAGGCAACTTGCCTCTCTACCTGCGCCCTGGATCAGCCCTTGATCAGCCAGCCTACGGTTGCTGCTAGGGGGAAAAAAATCTTCCATGGGTCGTGCACGCAGCGCACACACACCTGGTTGGAATGGACACGAACAAGCACTCGAAGAAGAACGGAGACTTTTGGGGCATCTAGTAATGTGTTCTTAAATGATTCCCAACGATCATTCACATTGATCCGATAAAATTCTTCCCACCAGCTGACGTGGATCGTAAACTGCTTTGTGAAATTGGCTCTTTTGAAGCCAACAATATATATTACTGGTCTGTATTTTACTCTGCTTGCACATTATAAATATGATTGACGATCACTTGGACTTCAGAGACCCTTCATGTTTAGTTCTGTGATCAGTATCTCTTTTTGTGTTAGGACAAAGAACAATAAAGAACTCCCTCATGTTGGCTACAACACTTTTTGTGATGTACTTCCCGACACCCTGAGCAGGGCGCAGACCAGCCCTGCACGGCCAGGGAAGCGCAGCCAGGCCTAGCGGCCGGGGGCAGCGAGCCAGCCGCCGCGGAGCAGGTTACCTGTTCCACTGGAAGAGGTCTGGGCGAGGTCGGTGCTGCTGTCGCTGGATGGAGACGTTTGCTGTGGGGCCTGATGCACTTGGATGGTCTGCACTGGAACCTGCTGCGTCACGGTGCCGCCTGGGAGGAGAGAGGAGAGCCCTTCACTGCACGCTCCCCCGGCCGCTGCCCCCCCAAAGGCAATGCAGGGACCTGCCGGCCCCGCGTCACACACCCGCCCCCTGCGCCTGCAGGCAGGATGAAAGAGGAGCAGAGCACTTAGGCCCCACTCCGTGGGCTGGGGCACGTTCACACGGTGAGGGGAGGAGACCCGGCCCCTGCCCCCCGCATTCACCTTATGGCGCCCACCCGCCTGCCAGGGGAAAGGCCGACCTCCCGACCGGATATCCACCCGCTCCCCAGCTGGGCTCGGCAGCCCTGGAAACCGACGGCAGCAACCCCCGCAAGGCGTTACTGCCCGGAGCCAGCCAAGCAGAGGGGGTGCGTGGGGGGCCCTGGTTCACTGCCCTCCACACTTGGCATACAGCCCTCGCCTACCCCAGACAACAGAGAGGGGCTGAGGGGGGAGCCCAACCAGCAGCAATTTGCTCTGCCCCCTGCCACGCCCCACCCCGGCTGGATTTGGAAGCCCCCCTCACAACTGGGACTCTACCCACTAGGCTACCTCAAAGGCTCCTGGTCCAGGCCCCCACAGCAGCAACCCCCACCTCAATCAGGAAAGGAGCGGGGCTGGGGCTGGGAACCACCTGCCACGGGCTACAGCCCAGGGCGTGCTGAGCTAGAACCGAACGACGTGCCGATGCCACAGCTGACCTACTCCAGGTGACGGCCACAGGCCAGCCCCACGCAGCCAGCCCCCTCCGGGCCCTCTGTGCTCCAATGGGGGAAGCTCGCTGCGGCCCTGGCCATGAGGGAGACACAGCTACGAAGCTGGCTCCGGATGCTAAAAGAGAAGCCTGATCTTCCTGGGAGCAGCTGTGTGACACAGCACAAGGCCGCCGGTCGAACCTGCTGGGCCCCGAAGGAGCCGTGCGCGGTTTTTGCACAATACACACACAGCACAGCAGTCACCAGGCTGGCTCGGAGTAGCCCAGGGTCCCGTCTCCGACACGACCCAGGACCAGCTAGTCCAGAGAGAGGACAGGACAGGACACCAAAACTGGGCAGCTACAGCTGTTCTGAACCCTGCCAGTCAGCGACTGGCTTCTACCTGGAAGCGCAAGGAGAGACATCCCCCCTGGCAGAACGGTCAGCTTGCCCAGTCAAGACGCTGGGAAATGCCAGCTCTCCAGCTGCCTACACAACCTCCACTCGGCCCCTGTGCGTGCGCAATGGGTGGACCGGGTGCGTCGATTCACGATTTCCTTGTGTCCTCCTCATTCGACGCGTGGCCCCACGCAGCACGTGCCCAGGTAACGAAGGCTTTGCCGCAATGCAGAGTGTGCGACTTTGCTTCGCTCCCATTCTTTCCATGGCGGGTTTTATGTAACTTCCAGTGTTTTTAAAAAGCAAACAGAGATAACAGAACCACGCAGAGCCCCGCCTGGGTCATCTACAGGGGTAGAGCCTTTCGCTCCACAGCACAGACCTCCATCACTGGAGCTCGCTGAGTAACTGAAGTAGTAGTAGGCTGCTATCTTCTCCGCCAGGGAGAGTCACACTTTGCCAGTGAGGCTGACAGCAGAGGAGTGCTGGCGCTCAGGGACCCTGGGCTCTGGAGGGATGTGTGCTCTCTGGGCACAGACCCTTCCTGCCCCTGCCCCCCCGTCCCTCCCCCATCCTGACCACTTCTGTAGTATGTCCCCTCCTTCTCCCAGCCTGCTCTTTTCCTGTCCTCCCCGAATTGCATTTGGGTCAATGCAATGCAATTGCTTCCTCTTTCCTCGCCAGACTGCCTGGGGGGCACTGAGAGATCAGCTCTGCTCAGTCTGGTCCCAAGCAATTCCAGGGGAAGCCCCGCTCAGCCCGTGGCTGGAGCATGTTCAGAGCAGACAGAACGTTTGGAGATGGTTGTTGTTGAGCCTCTAACAAACCTGTCCAGAGCATGTGCAAAGGGAATTTTCAGAGAACAACTCCACTAAATCTGAGTCAACGGTCACAAGGGCAGCAAAAGGCACCTCTCCAGCCCCAGGGCTACTCCCATGTCCCTGTTTCAAAGCACAGGGTGCTAGAACAGCTCAAAGGACAACTGTAAACACAGCCCAGGCCGGACGACATCACCCGGGCATGGAACACATGGGGGCACTGGAGCATGGCTTTTAGCTGGACGTCCCACCTCGACTCCTAACGGCGAATCCCCCTGGTTGGTGACAAGAACATCCTATCGCCAGTTTGAACTCATCAACTCCAGCGCCCAGCCGGGGATCTCCTTCTGACCCTGCCTGGTAGGTTCCAGAGCCTTCTGCTCTCGGCAGCTGATTTGAACTGAGACCGACCTTGTCAACGTGTCCAGTGTGCTCTGGGGACTCGCTGCTCTGTAACCCCTCCGTATATTCCTGCTCCACTTCGGACCCTGCCTCGTCTCTATTACCGGCAGAGGGGAGTTCAGGGACCCCCCGACGCCCCATTAGCGGATCACCGCCTGTAACGCCCCTTTGGTGGAGCAGCTGTTACTGTCCTGCTTCTTTTTACAAGGGGTCAGTCATCCCAGGGAGCCAAGCAACGTCCCCCCTCCACAGCTCCCGGCTCCCCAAAACCAACACAGCGCCACCGCCAGGGCTGGAGAGAGGCGTCGGGTGGCCAGGACCTCCTCCCGCACCGACTTCCACAGCTGCCGGGGTCCCTGTGCCTAGTCGAACTCAGCCTGCGCCGTCCGTCGGGCTGACGGGCACAAGGCCGTGCCCAGCCCCCTGCCTGGAGAGGCCTTGCGGTGCGGCGTGAGCCCAGCTGGATGGATCGATTCAGCACTGACCGCAGCACACGCCGCGCCTGTCTAGGATACCGCCCCCTGCCAGCCAGCAGGCAAGCACTGCCCTGGCCTCAGCCTCCTCTGCCCTCCAGGCTGGCAGGGGCCGTGCTCCCCCTGCCCCAGCCCCCCCGCTCCCACGCGGAGAAGCGAGCGCTGACCTGTCAGAGACACAATCTGCCCTCCGGCTGTGGCGGGGAAGCGGAAGACCGTCTGCTGTGCTTGCTGCAGCTGTCCAGCTGGGCCTGCGACCGCCTGGCCCTGCTGGCTGGAGAGGGCCAGCGAGTGCGGCTGTAACTGAGCGAGAGGAATGGTGGGGGTCCCAGGAGGGAGCGGAGCACCTGCCGAAAGGAGGGGGAAAGAAAGGCTTCATCACGACCAGATCTTTTGACCTCCTCCAGCCCCGGAGCTTGTGCTGCGCTTGCTCCTAGGGGCGGCCCTGGACACAGCCGCACGGCCCAGCTTGGATCCCTGCAATCCCCACCACAGGCAGGGAGGCAGCGAGCGCCCATCCCCGCTCGCCCCCGGGGCAAGGGCCTGGCCCCAGGGACTGCGCCCAGAGAGCAGGCCGAGCCAACACCGCTGGGGCAAGGCAGCCCTGTTCGCTTCCCCCACAACCAATCGGCCTGGGGCCAGTCCCCGAGAGCCCCCCGCCCCTGGCGTGCACTGACCTGGCATGAGAGTGAAGCCGCTGGGGAGCTGCATGAGCCCGCCGGAGGCCACGGCGCTGGTGCCCGTGGTTTTGAGCACTGTCCCGTTGGCGCTGGTGACGGTGTTGGGGCTGACGCTGGCCGAGACTGGCGCTAGGTAGTTGGTGATCGGGTAGGAGGGGCCGCTGCTGACCTGCATGGACGTGGAGGTGGTGGGCACGGTCTGGATGGTGGACGTCGTCCCCGGCAAGTTGGTAACTGTGAATGCAGGCTTCAGAGAGTCCTACGAGAGACGGGCAGGTGAGGGAGAGCCAAACCGGGTCCTGAGCCTCATCCGCGCCCCACCCCAACCAGACCTCAGGGCTCTGCCAAACCCCCAAACCAAAGCAAACCGGGTCCTGAGCCCCATCCGCGCGCCCCTCCCCCCCCTCAGACCTCTGCCAACCCCCCAAACCAAACCGGGTCCTGAGCCCCGTCCACGCCCCACCCCCACCAGACCTCAGGGCTCTGCCAACCCCTGGGTGAGAGGCTACACAGGCTAGCAGGCAACAGAAGCTGCTGGGAGCCAGGGCCAGGCCCATGTGAGAACCAAACTCCCTGAAACACGTGGAGCAAAAATCTACACTATGCTGGCACACCCCAGGGCTCCGGACACACCTCACTGCAGCACCCCCAGGGCTCCGGACACACCTCACTGCGGCACACCCCCAGGCACACCCCGGGGCTCCGGACACACCTCGCTGCGGCACACCCCCAAGCACACCCCGTGGCTCCGGACACACCTCGCTGCAGCACCCCCAGGGCTCCGGACACACCTCGCTGCAGCACCCCCAGGGCTCCGGACACACCTCGCTGCGGCACACCCCCAGGGCACACCCCCAGGGCTCCGGACACACCTCGCTGCAGCACACCCCCAGGGCACACCCCAGGGCTCCGGACACACCTCGCTGCGGCACACCCCGCTGCAGCATGCACAGGGTTCTCCCCTCCCCACCCCCAGCTTTGTTCTATGGTGGAGTAATTAGCAGCCGGCCCGCAAAGAGGGAATCAATCACCAGCCAAACTACACTCAAAGGAAACACCAACTGTCCTGCTCTCGTTCCAGGGACGTGTGACCACTCCGTGCAAGGGACCGACAGGGAACCAGCCCCGTGCAGGAGGCAAAGGAGCCTGGAGATCAGCTGCACCAAAGATGGGGACAGAAGTTAGCCAGATCTGACAGGGGCCCACACTGGGCAGAAAGAGATCCTGTGTCTGCCATGGCCCCCAGGCAGCTCCAGTGTGGGTCACAGGTTGCTCCGGCTCAGAAGGAGCAAGGAGCCCCATGCCAGCCTCCCCGGGGATCACAGCCCCCCCCAGCTGCCGAGGAGCTTGTGTTCAGAGCACCGCACAGCCAGTGCAGACTGGCAGGCCCAGAGCGCCCACGTGCTGTGGCCGGCCTGTCGCGCTGCCAAGAGCAGGAATTCACAGCCTGCCGAACAGCTAAAAAAGGGAAGGCAGCCCATTTTGGACAGGCCCAGCCAATCCAGAGCGCCCTGCCCGTCTCCCCCAGGGGAGGGGAGGGTTGGGTGGCAGATCCCCGCTAGCCGGGGCACTGAGATTCCCTGCCGTCGGAATTAGAACGAGCATGTGATAACGGAGCAGAGCCAGGCAAATCCACTTTCCATTATCTCAGCAGCAGTCTCCTGTCCCCCCCCCGGCGCAGGGGCTGGGAGCGGGGGCGAGTCACCGGCCCCAGCCCCTCACTGGGAGGACAAGAGCGGGTGACCCCAGCCACCCAGCTGATGATGCTCCCAGGAGAATCAGCCAGCGATTCAATCGCGGCCGGCCGGGCCGTCCCCACTGCCTGATACGGTCGCCAACAGCAGTGCACCCTGGGCACCGTACCCACGGGCGTGCACTGTCAGCACTGCCCACAACTCACGCCACCTGGGGGGCTTCCCCTCTGCCCCCTCCCACAGTGCCCCCACCCCTCCAGAGTCCCCAACCCCCCTGCAGGGCAGCTGCTTGGTCCCCGCTCTGCTCTCTGCCAGGGCAGCCCCCAAACTCCCCCACCGCCTTCCGGTGATCTCCCCCTAACCCTGTGTGTCTGCAGCAGCCAAGATGGGGGGGGGGGGGAGAGGAGGGGGGGGCGTGTTTTCTCTCTGAAACTAAACTTCAAAACAAACGGCCAAAGAGAAAAAAAACAAAAAAACCCACCAACCTCCCTCCCTCCCTCCATTTCAAAACACTCAGAATTGGCAAGTTTCATTTGAATAGTTGGACAGCCCTGGAGACTCATGTCCTAGTTATCCTCTACACGGGCCCCCAGGCACGGTCCCGCCAGCGTGCCCGGCCCAGCGCTCCTCAGAGCGCAGTCCTGCTGCTGTGACAGCCCCCAGAGCAGCTCGGCACCGGAGTGCCACCAACAGCGCCCACGGGCAGGGAGCAGGGTGGGCAGCCAAGCTGCCCCGCAGTCCTGGGGCAGCGTCTAAGCTCAAACACAGGCCAGAAAATCCTAAACCTGGGTTCAAATGCAGGGCAGACGCCCTAGCCCAGGACTCCCCGACGTGGGTCAGCTGACTTGCGCCCTATTAACCGAGAGCTGCAGTACACCCAAGCCGCCAGCGCCCCACCCCTCTGCGAGCGAGCCCGTACACACAGCACTCAACCTTTAGTATCCTAAGTCTCATGGTGTTGGAGGGGGGAGGGGCTGGCCTCAGGATATTGACCCATCAGGGCTGGCGAGCCCAGGAGTCCCTCCTCCATTGCTGCCCCACCTAGCCTGCCAGCTGCCTGGGGCAGGGCTGTGGCTGCTGGCCTGGGCAGCCTCATTCCCCTGACAATTCCCTGCTGCCCACTCCAGGGGGTTCAAGGGGGATCCAGGCCTGCAGGGACCCCAGCTGGGCTCAGGTCAATGGTTCCCAGCCCTCGTGGGCGGGGGGATCCGGGGGTCAAGCACATTTATTTCCAAAGAGCGGTTGCGGCCACGAGGGGCCCTTCGGGGCCGGTTCCCTGCTTTGCGGAGAGAAGGCTGCGGCTAGCATTCCAGCCCCGTGCATGCAGCTCGACTTCCGGCCACCTCCAAACCCTTCCCTTCACAGCCCACGCTCCTCCCGCCACCTTCAGAGGGAGCAGCCCCCGCTGCAGGCCCCGGGGCTGGCATGTGCTGACTCCAGCGACCCTCTCGGGGCCCAGAGCAGATCAACTCAAGTTCGAGTAGCCCCCGTGCCCTACACTTGCTGCTCCACCCTGGCGGGGCGCCTTAGCCCACTGGCCACATGCTGCACGTCACCATCCCGTGTGGCCAGCTGGAGCAACCGGGGATGGATAAGCAACAGGCCGAGGCTCATGTCACTCTGAGGGGGGTGGTGCTCCCGTGCAATCACTCCAAGGCCCCCGCCGCACTGGACAATCAGGGAGTCCAAGGCCAGAAGGAAGCAGCAGCTCCTCGTGCCAGCCTGACCTGCCTGGAACAGACCCCAGGAGCCTAGAGCAGCACATGCCCCAGGCAGAGAACGGCGGGGACCCAGGTGCGCCAGGGCCCCTGCATGGCAGGGAAACGTTTACGTGAGCTCAACCCAGGTCATCCTGGCAAGCGAGCAGCCCCCCGCCCTGCAGAGGAAGGGGCCAGCTTGTCCTTGCATCTCCAGGAAGGCTCACACAGCTGTGGGCTGGGCACGGCCCGCCTGCCCCCTGCCAGCAGGGTGCTCTGGAAGTGTCCCGGAGGTGGTCTGATGTGCCATATCTCACCCTCCCGGGCAGTGGGGCCCTGCTCGGAGCTGCCAGGGCTCCGGGTGCAGCACTCACTGCATCATGCCTAGACCGTACTGCCAACAGCATCCTCGTGCGTGCACCCCCCGCACTGCAGGTGAGAGACGTGAGCCCCGGGACAGGTGCAAGGCTGGAGAGGGGCCAGCCCCAAACCAACGCCACTTCCGGGACGTCCGGCCTCTCCCCCACACCTGCTGCCCAGCCACATTCCAGCCCCTCGGCCGCTGCAGCTGTTCCCTTTGTCAGCACACAAGTGGCGCCTGGCCTGCCCGAGCAGGGGGAAGGGGGGCAGGCCAGGCCCGACTCACCACCATAGGGAGCCGACGTCCCCCCAGAGCAGCAGAGAACCTGGAAACCATCAGCTGCCGGGCCCTGCTCCCTCCCCTGGGGCTCAGCAAACAGCCTCATCTCTGCCCTGTCCCCTCGCTCTCCACGACCCCGCTTACAGCTCTCCCAAGCCAGGCCAGGCCCTTGGGGGAGCCCTGCCAGCTGCTGGCCCAGAGCCTGGAGCAATGGCTAGGGAGCCTCCCAGGCAGCCCCCAAATGGGGACCAGCGGGGGAGCTGCCGGCTCTGCGGCAGAATCCCTGGGGGGCAATATGCACCTGGGTCAGGGACAGTGGGGCTAGGAGGGCAGCAGACTCAGCACCCCCCAGTGCCCTCCACTCGCCAGGGCAAGGCGCAGGAGAGCCCCAGCTAGCAGGAATTATCAGGCCTCACCGCTGTTACCCTATTTCCCCTTCAAACACTGTGGGGCAGGGGAGGGCTGTCATGCCCACTGAGCAGGTGGGGCCGGAGGCCCAGAGACACTATGGGGTACCAGCACCCTGGCCTAGCCAGACACGAGACAGCTGGCTCGCCCCTGCGCGGCCCAAGAGCAGGCCAGCGGCCGAGCGCTCAGCTCCCACCCGCTCGCAGGGACCCCGCAGGCTGACCCAGCCCCCAGCACTCACAGGAGGCTGGCTGGTACTGGGGGGGCTGCCTCCCTGCCCCTGGCTGCAGCCACCCGCTCTGTCGGGGTGCGTGCGAGAGAGAGAGCCAGCCGCTCCCAGCTGCCTACCCTCCCCGGCAGTGCAGCTGGACTGTCCCCTAGGCCAGTGTCCTTCCCTTGGGCCGGCAGTGACCAGGGGCCTTCTTCCCACCCCCCACCCCAGGCCTCGCTGGCGGGCAGCAGTCTGCAGGAGAGGAATGGGGGAGGAGGACCTGAGCCGAGGCCAAAGGGAGCTCAGTGCCCCGGCCTGTCCCGGGTGCACACGCCGTGGGGTGTGCAGGCATCAGGCACGGCTGGATGGAGCCAGATCTCGTGCCACTGAGCTGCACCAGGACCTGTGTCCATGGGCAGCCCCCTGGCCGGGGGGGGGGGGGGAGAGGAGAGGAGAGGCAGCTGCGGGGGCCTGTGCACCTCAATGTCAGCGAGGAGCAGGCATCGCATTGCGAACCTCCACAGCTTCAGGGCGCAGGCCCCGCCGAGCCCCAGCTCCGGCCCCAGCTGCAAGGATCTCATGCACTTCCGGGGCACCACGCTGGACAGC